ACCCATTTTCTTGACTTTTACACCAAATATATACCCCTTAGCCAAACACTTTCCTCACCGGACTTTGGAATGAGACTACATACTCTTAGTAGGGAGTATTTGTTGTTTGATCTTTATACCTTTTACACGATCCTCAACACATATATAATGATCGGTAGAGGTTCGAGAAAAAGAAAAAAAAAAGAAAAGAAAAAAAAAGAGAAAAAGCAAAAAAAAAAAAAGAGAAAAAGCAAAAAAAAAAAGAAAAGAAAATATATATATATATATATATATATATGTTCCATATGTGGGAATAAAAAAAAATTGAATACATGGAGGCCGAACAAAGGAAGAAACACAATTGTCTCCATAATGTTTTTAGCRAATAAGAGCTAAGAGATTGAAAAATTTTGTGATCACGCTTTGACAAGGCACGAGAATCATGTTTGAGTTATAGTTTCCTTTCCAATGTCCACTTTTAGTCACTTCACCAAATTACTCTCTACCTTGACCCTTAGCCACGTTACAACCCTTACTAAAGACCTTTTGATCCACATTTAGTATTGACCGTTAGAAATGGAGAATTGAGACTTGATKCAAGCTTATAGTGGTGTATGTGCATGTGAATTGATGCCAAGAGTGAAAACACTTACACCTTTGTGTGAATGAGCGATTAGATTAGATTTATATCCTTTGTGAGGTGTTTGTGAAATTAGCAAGTGCTCATCTTTGGTTTGTCTTGTGTGTTTATTGTTATTATACCGGTTAAATCGTGCCTTCACGAAATGCTATGTATCTCATTTCATCTATTCTCTCAAAATCAACTTATGGAGTTTGCTTTGTGCTAAAATCTTAGTGTTTGCCCGAGGACGGTCAATGGTCCAAGTGTGGGGATTCACAAAAGCATAAAAATAATGGGAAATGGAAATAAAGCTGACATCTTTTATGAGTGATTTGACGTTTATTATTTTCATAATTTTTTTATTATAGTATTTTACTTTATTATTTTTGTTATAGTAATATATTTTTAAATTATTTTTTTATTAAAATATTAATGTATTTAAAAAAATCTATATATTATAACAATGGGTTTCCTAGACCAGTTAACCCCTTACTTCTTTTTGCTTCATTGACTTTAATGAGATGATGTGGATAATACATTATTTTGATAAAATGACTAAAATAAATATAAAAAATAGAACCTATTTCAAATTGGTTTTAATGATTTTCACTTTTCATTGCTACGATTAATTTTTTTTTTCTCTTATTAAATTACATTCAAATTAAACAAGTATGATATATTCTTTAAAAGATAAAATATATTTTTGGTAAAAAAAAAAGTAACAATTCTCATTTTCTTTTTTCAAAAATACATATTTTTAAAAAATGTTAGCAAGATAAATTATGTTCTACTAGTTTTATTAATGTTGGTATATTAATGAATAATTAAAAATTTTCTAATTCATTTAATATATTTATTAAACAATAGGTAAAATGTATAAATAATAAAATATTAAAATTAAAAGCACAATGTTGTATATATGCTATAATAAAATAATTTTGAAAGTACAATGTTTTAATAAGAAAATCCACATCAGCTAGTACATGTAGACAACCTACGTGGATAGTGAAGTTGCATGAAAATCTGATATTAAACTTAAATCAAAACATCATAATGTTATATTAAGTAATTTTTTCAAAGTATAATGCTCTAATAAGAAATAATTTAAAAGTACATTGTTGTAATAAGAAAAATTGAAAGTACAATGCTATAATAAAAATATTTATGAAAGTAAGTTGTTATTTCATGTATTTTGTCTTTAAAAATTTTAATTAAAGAAATTACACAAAAAAAAACAAGA